TATTCCAAATACAAATTCAAAATAAAATTAGAAAGAGTTTACAGATTTTGAGAAAATGATGAAAGCTTCAAGGTCATCAATGGTGGAAGCTTTCCTCTCCACTTTGCTTGGCTGCACCTTGGCTTTCTCCTAGCTCCCAGCTCTCCAAAATCTGCTCTCTATGTCTAGAATGATAGAATGGATTCAATTTCCCACGTTCAAAACCTCTCCCACTTCAGATTCCAATTAACTTTCCATTGCCCATCAATTTCCAGCTCACAAATATAATATAAAACTCATACTTTAGTTAAAGCCTTTGCCCTTTTGTTAAAGCTTCAAACTTTGTCCCCTTGCCATGATGAAGCTTTGTCATTGAAAATATGCTCTTTGCCTCTGAAAATATCTCTTAACCAAGGTAATTTCTTGTTACCAAGTGTTATGGTAACAAGAAGAATCAAGATGACACAATGGAGGTAAAAGCTGGCCAATTTCGGATTTCCAGAGCTGTGGTAACATGCTGGATTGGTTGGATAGGCAATACTTGTCCAATGGAGCTCAAATTTGGATATGTTGTAGTTAACATCCATTGGAACAAGTTTCATGAAGATCTTCACCTCATCCGAGCACCAGAGCATGTTGATCCCAGGCCAAGAAGTTGACCTACGAAAATGAACAAAAACAGAATTTATAACCAATAATGCACTTTTAGCTCATTTTCATTCTAACCAAGGTAAAATCTAAGAAAACACAAAAAAGAAGTAAAAAACTATAAAATGTCAAGAACTAACTCAAAATAATAGGTGAATAACATGAAAAATCATGTGCAAAAATGAACCGAACACCTAGTGCGTTATTATCTTTGTTTTCATCTTTTACATTATTTACTTAATCTCAATTTATTTTACTTGCTTAATTAGATTTTAATCATCATAATTCTCTTATCGTTTAATTCAAATATAATTAGAAATAAATCACTCTAGTATTTAATAGATTAACTTGATCCCTGTTGGAACGATACTCTATTTACTACTATACTAATTTGAGCGATATTGTCCACTTGCAATTAATCACATCATAATCTCACTCATCAAGACCCCGCTTGTGCGAGAGAACTTAAAGAACTCAAGGAAGAACTGGACAAACTAAGGAGGTGATCAAATCAATAATCCTTTCTATTTTCCCTCCTACCGTCTAAATCATCAACATTTCATCCAATTTTATGTTAAATCATTAAAAATAAATTTTTTTTTTGGAAATTTTTTTTTTAAAAAAAAAGTGAAGAAAAAAAATAATATGGCCAGCTCTTCTCTATCTCTCTCACTCCATCCTCTGTCAAACCCCATCCACCTTATTCAAATTTTTTACTCTTAAAAAGTATGAAAAATAAAAATGGAAGAAAAACCAAAGCAGGTACCCAAAGTCCCAACCTACCTAGTGTTGACAGCAACTCTCTCTCCCACATGAAAAATTCTCATTTTGATTTCCACCAAAACCAACTCCAGCCCCAGCCCCAGCCACCCCATGCCCGACCCCTTCTCTTTATCATCCCAAAACTTATCAAGACACCCATGGAAGTTTGGGGGAAGAAGGGGTTGGGAAGATGATGGTGGTTGAGGTGGTTTGGGTGTTGTATTTGTGAGAGGGATTAGGGAAGATGATGGTAGGGCTGGGTGTGGCTGCCAACCATTCAATGCCATCACAGCAGCCAGTGACCCACCCCCTTCCTCGAAAACAAGTCGGGCTTGCCAGGGGTCGACCTGGACACCGCTCCAGCCAGGCGGAGGTGTCATTTTCAGACCCAAGCCTAGAGATTGGAGCATCAAGATCAACCGCAAGGAGAAGAGGCTCGCGATTTCGATGACGGTAGCTTGCGCGACGGAGAACACGATCGTGGTTGAGGATTTCAGCGACGAGTTCGAGAAGCCAAAGACGAAGGAGTTCATTGCTGTGATGAAGAGGTGGGGATTGGACCCGAACGAGAAGATGACCTTTTTGATGAGGGAGGTCGCAGAATATGTGAGGCTTTCGAGTAGAAATATTGGGACTTTGAAGATGTTGACTCTGAGGACTTTGAATTTGTTTGATATTTTGAATGCGGATAAATTGATTTTGAAGCTAGAGATTGTGAATTATCTGAATGCGATATATGGGTTGAATTATGAGGGCAACGATGAGGACGAAGAGGACAAAGAAGGTGCATAGGAAGAAGATGAAGAAGAAGGTGAAGGAGGAGGTGAAGTTCAAGATTAAGTATTTTTATGTCATTTGCTTTATCTTTGAAACTCGTTTGATACTTTTTAATTTGGGTTGTTTACTTTCTATGCAGTTGTAGGTCTAGTTTTTGAATATGTGAACGCATTTTGTTGGGTTTGATTTAGAATTTGGATTGTTTACCTTATATTTCTATTATTATTATTTCAAATTTCAAATTATTTTATTTTATTTTCACATGGAAATGACCAATTTACCCTCATATTTAACGGCAAATTGGATGAAATGTTGAGGATTTAGACGGCAGAGGGGAAATTGGCCAAAAAAAGAAGTTTATATCCTTCATTTTCTAAAAAAAAAGGATAGGGGGCTAATTGAAAGTGAGCTACAAGTTCAGGGGGTATTTCAGTAGTATACCCCAAGAAAATTAACAAATAAATAAGTAAAGGAGGCATAAAATATATATAAAATATAGGCTTATCAGATTATCACCGGGAGGTGGTGGGTGCAACAACAAGGGCCTTCAAAGCCAGCTTCATTTCTGTCCTTGTTTTTGAGTATAGTGGTGAGTGCAGTTGCCGCATCTCTCTTCAGCTTTGTAACTTCAATTGACAGCTTTTCCACCTTCTCATTTTCTAACTTGTACCTTCATCACAACGCAAATCAAGGACCAACCCAAATCAGGGAACTATCTTATTTTTTTTTGGTCTGAATAAGTTTCATTGATAGATAGGCAATGCCAATTACAAGAGAGTGAAACTCATAAAAATGAGTCTAAACAAATGCAACAGTAAAAGCCCACTACAATAAAGTCAAACATGCATAAAGTCCCCAACTGGCATAAAACCAGAGCCCACAACTGGCATAAAGCCAGAGCCCAAACTGACATAAAGTCAGGGTACAAAATTGGCATAAAGCCAGAGCCAACCGAAGGCAGAACCACCACCAAACGCCAAAGCACCGCTGCCGCTGCTTCCATGAAGACCGAGACATCGCCACCAGGACAAATGATGAGTGAAAGGACTGCAAGCACACCAAAACACACAAAACAAAAACAAGAACTACAAATCTGAAAATCCCTCGCAATACATAAATCGACCATCAAAGACATAATAACTCCAACAAAAACGAAACCACCAAAGCACCAAGAAGGAACCCGCAGCCAATCCAAGAACAAACTTGAGAAAACACTTCCCAAAGCCAAAGAAACCAACAACCCAAGAGTGGAAGGAGGTGGTGCAAGCACTCGAGCAAGAGCTCTACACATCTTCCGAAGGGGACACGAAAAATCGTGTTTGGGATTAGCTGCTGCAGCCCATGGGGGTTGATAGATCCAAGAGGGAGATAGAGTCTTTGAAGAAGACATAAGAGGAGGGAGGAAATTTAAGGAAGCTGGGAAATTTAAATAAAAAAGGAAGAAAAACAGTGATGAAGTGAAGAGGAAGATGGAAAATGGATGATAACAGAGAAGGAGTGAAGGGGAAGATGGAAGATGGAGGAAGGAAATTGGAATGAAAGAGGTATCAGGGGGGAGGGAAGGAGCCACCTCCCCCCTTGCTGCGTTGAAAGACTGAGGGTTTGAGAAAGAGGGTGTGTGGCGCTAGGGTTTCCTTGAGAGAAAAAGTTTCCAATTTGCCAAGGGTTTAGGGTTTAGGGCAAGTTTCAACCTTGCTAATACTATACTGCAACTTGTACACAAGGTCACCAAAATAAGAGTTCAGAATGACTAAATATACACTATTGCCTTTACCTTCATTACGATACATGCTATGTTACTAATTAACACTAATTAGTGTATGATATCAACACTAATTAATATAACCAATTAATTCAAAAACAGAGTCCTTACCTCTCTGCAAGCCATCTGGCCCTTGCAACGGGATCCTCGAGCTTCCTCTTCTTCCTACTCCTCCTAAGGTTCAAATCTTCTTTGTTTTCTTGTTCAATATCATCATCATCATCTAGCACTATTACCTCTATCCCCTTCTCTCTTGTTTTTGCTTTTACTTCTTCCTTATCAGTGCTAGAGCCCCACTGCACCATCCTAGTGAACTTTAGCTCCTAGAAGCATGGGCCCAACACTTGTCTGGTAATTTGTGGCTGTCGCTTCGGGTGTAAACGCCCAGAATCTCCAAATGTTGCTCCGATCTGCAATTTCCTTGGTTGGGATTCTCCTGGCAAAACACCTCTGAAGCCACTTGTGGAGTCATCACATATCTTGCATCAAGTGCGAGAATCGGATTCCCAAATTGATATCCTCGTTCAGCGATGTGAGTGTGCAGAGAGTGAATGCTTGGGCACGCCACACACACTGTGTGCTGATCAATACCACTCACCTGCGTATACAACAAAAGTGGAACAAAATGAAAACCCAAACCAAAAAACAAGACTATTTGTGGGTTTCGTGAAAAGTTATAATGAGTTTTTAGCTGTAGAGATAAAGCGCTCGGATCAGGTGAGAACGCCTATGTGAGAAATTTATATGAGAATCAATCGCAGCCGTTGAAATGCATTCGATCGGTTTAAGAGAAAAGGCAAGCTTATGGTGCAAACGGGTAGGCTACACTTTCCCCTTAACAGAGGTGTCAAGTCATGCTTGGTTCGAAAAAATAGCGCATTTTTTCTTCCTGATAGTGGCGCCTTTCTTGTCAATGGAGTTATGAATGAACCCAAATCATAACACCCAAATACCTACCAGACATCAAGTTCTGTATTCCTTATCTCTTCTGGCAAAAACTCCCTAGTCTACTGTTTCTGTTTGACTTCCTCTTCTGCTGTCGCAAAACCTCCGTCTGAATCAATACGTTTCTGTCGAATTCCCTCTGTCTCTTTGATATTAAAGTTTGCATGTTATATTGCATTCACTTAATGTTTAAATTTTGTTTAGGATTTTAGGGAGGATTTTAGGGCTTTGATTTTCTGGGTAAGAGTAGTCTGTCTCTGTAGTTGTTGTGTTTGCAAAAATATAAATTGGCCTTAGTTGGTTTTTTGTGTTGTGTTTTCTAGTTATTAGTAATTTGTTGAAGCATAGTAACTCTTTTTTAAAGTTTTATCTGCGGTTTAAAAATTCTTTCATTTATCCAAAAGTTGGGTTGTATTTTGTTTGCAATTTTTTGTGGTAATTTGTTGAAGTGTAGATTCACAGCTGTTGCTTCTTCCTATTTTTGTTTGCTTTCTGGTTGTTTGTTGTGTTTTCGTAAAATTCCAGGAATCTTCATGTGTTCCTTATTGGAATCCTGCTTTGGCCATCTAGTGGTGTGAGTGTAGGGCATCAATTTAGGGATTTAATGGGCCTTGGAAAACAAATAATAAATACCAGTAGAAGTAGAACACATGAGAGAAAATTGAATCTTAACCGTGAATATGAGATGATTTGGGATGCATAAGGATCAATGTATGTTGTAGTAGGTATCAATTCTGTATCTGAATGTGTTGAAAATAGTGTTGGTAGGTATCAGGTCTGTATGTTAATGTGTTGAAAATAGTGTTTGTAGGTGAAATTATGTATCTTAATGTATTGAAAATAGTGTATCAGTTTTGTAACTTAATATGTTGAAAATACTGTTAGTAGGTATCAATTATGTAATGTGTTGAAAATAGTGTTTGTAGGTTTGAAAACGTGTAGATAATATTGTGAGTATGTATCACTTCTGTATGTTAATGTGGTCATACTATTGTGAGCAGGTATCACTTTTGTTTCTTAAGCAAAAGGTGTCTGTTGTAGGTAAAAAATGGATTCTGGGTTTGAGTTTTGTTTCCTCGAGTCAGAGGTCTGTTCTGTTTGGGTGAATAATTTGTGTGTGGCGAGTACAGTTCTGTGTAATTTTGGGGCGCATTTCAGTGAGTCGCTTATGAAAAGATTTAGAAAGAGCTGTTTTGGGCACCTGTTGTGCCTCCATAAAATTGCATTTAGTGGTCAAATTGTGTGTGGTCTGGCACTTTGGCGAGTAAGAGGACTTGGTGTGAAGAACATGCTGGGCCCTAGTTATGCAATAGGGTCCAAAGTTGCTCAATTCAGTGTAAATGATTTTTGTTTGATAAGTGGTCTAAAATGTGGAATAGAGCCTGACATAACGTCCACCGAGGATGCTCATAATCGATTTATGAAAGCGCATTTTATCAACAGGCGTCACATTACTGGCCATGACTTAGAAAATGCATTCCTAAAATCCGAAAGAGGAAGCGAGGACTCGTTCAAATTGGGATTGCTGTATTTTGTGGAGTTTGTGATAAACCCCAAAATGTAAAGATAAATGAGGACTACTTACATTTGGTTCATAAAATGAATGAATTCAACAAATATCTGTGGGGATCTATATCGTTTGAGTGTCCGCAAGATTCTTTGTTGTTTGTTCCCGGGAAGAAAGAGAGTGATGAAGACAATGATGGGAAGGGGAAAGGACAGAAAAAGCGAAAAAAGGTGGTGCGGAGTTAAGTGAGAAAAGGGAAGAAAAACGTGGAGGATGAGAAGCCTAAAAGAATTAATAGACCTGCATGGAATATAAAGGGATTGAGCTATGCTTTCCAGGTATGATTTAGTTCAAAATTAGTGTTTGTAAAATTTAAGTTCGTAACTAAGTATTGTCTTTGATAATCTATTTGTTGTAGATTTGGGCGTATGAATTAATTGCTGAATTGGGAATTGTCCCCCTTAGATATTGTAGGTGAATCAAGGAACCTGCATTAGTCCCTCGAATTTTCCAATGGGAATCCATAGATAAAGTGCCTGAATTTAGAAAGCTGAACGCTTATATATTTCAAAGCAAACAAGTGTGTAGTTAATAATTGATTTCAATAGTATGTTGGTTTCATGAGGAAAGCTGATTACTATTGTATATGACATGTTAACTATATATGTTTGACAACCTGTTATACTGCGCCTCTTATGACCAAGTGAATTGGAGATGAGGCAAGCATATTGGAGTTGGGGATCAGATGTTCCTGAATGTGATGCACCTAGTGTAGCCCCGCGACTATGTAAGGACCTTGAT